ATAGTTTGACATTTCAATAACCTACCTATCCCCCAAAAAATCAGTTTCTGTGGAATGGGAAATTTGATTTGATGTTTTATAGTATTTTCCATGACATGGATTTCTTGGTATCATTATACTCTGGATTATACCTTTGTTCCTTCTGTTGGATTTATTTCTTAAGATCCATATGGCATGTTGTCATGGACTTCCTCACTTATGCTGTATTTGTGCCTTAAAGGTCTAGCTTAATGCAAAAAATAAGTTATCTGATATTTACCACCATCACAAGCTCCTCAACCTATTTTGAGAAAATGTTATTTTTTCCTCTATGTAAGAATAGTTAAAAAAAATGAAGTTAGAGATCAAAAAGCTATTGTAGACAGGAATGAGAAACATAGCTATATTACAATCATCCCTTCTTCCAAACTTCTCTATTACTGTCAAAGACGCAACCAACCATCCCTGTCACTCAGGGTTGTCCTCATCCTTCCTGTCTCTTACCTCCTATATCAAATCAGTTGTGAAATTTTAGCATTTCTACGTTTGTATTCTTTCATAAACACCCCCTTCTTTTCTCTGACACTGCCATCAACCACTACAGCAGGCCATTATCACCTCAGGTCTATACTATTATAATAACCTTATAATAATCCTACTTCAAATCTCTCCCCACTCTAATTCATCTTCCATTCACCTTCTAAAGTGATCTTCCTAAAGAAGATGTGTGACTATGCCATACCCCTATTCAACAAATTCAAGTGACACCCTATTAGGTCCAGGGGGAAAAATATGTAAAATCCTCTATTTGGCATTCAAGTCCTGCTCATAACCTGATCTAGTCTTATTTTTCCAGTTGTCTTTAATTTTACTCAACTCCAGATTCTCTACAATCCAGAGACACCAGCCTCCTTGATTTTCCTTCCACAAGACACTTCATTTCCAGATTCCATGGCTTTTAATTGGTTGACTCATATGCTTGGAATGTTCTTCCTTTTCTCTACCTCCTGGATTCCCTTGCTTACTTCAAGTCTCAGCTAAAATCCTGACTTCTATAAAAAGACTTTTATGACCCACTTTAATATTAGTGCCTTTTCTAGCATTGAGATTACCACCAATTTACCCACTCTATATCATTTGTTTGCATAGCTGTTTGAATGATGTCTCCCCAACATGCAGATGTGAGCCTTTGAAGTGCAGGGATTACTTTTTTGCCCTTCTTTGCATACTCAGCACTTAACAAAGTGCATGATAATAATAGGTTGTTGACTTAACTTGACCATCAATGCAATTAAATAATTCAATTCAGTAAACATTTATTAAGCACCAGCTATGCCAGACATCAATAATGGTGTAACTGAAAATATATAGAAGTTTAGTCATACTATTCAATTTTAAAAAAGGAACATTTCCACATTCCACAAAGAGATACTATTTTTTTCTTATGTTTCTCAACCTTGACACTTCTCAGAAGTAATTCCAAATCACAACTGCATATTTATGTATTGTATACAATATATTGGTTTAGCTTTGCTTCTTTATGTAAGCCAACCTGAGTTTTACTACCTTTGAGCTCAAAATTATCTCTAAATGTGATTTCAGACAAGGTCTTCTTCATGCAACTGACACATCCTTATTTTGGCACCTTGCTGTCTGAATTGTGAATGCAAACTGGCAACAATCCAAAGAACAGGCAAAAATATGATAAAGGAAATAGAGTGATTGGCTGGTGAGGAAATGCAAGAGTTCTCAATATGCCTAGCCTGGGTAAACAACAATAAAGGAGAATGATAACAGGTCATAAATATTTAAAAAGTGTAAACATCAAATATGAAAAAGAATTATTAATTGTGGAACAGGGGCATAGAGCTAGAAATATACAGAAATTATAGGTAGAGAAAAGGGCTAAACAGAATTATCATTATGAAATATGTATAGCATGAAATATTAATATGCAGTATCCTAGCATCTGATGAAATCTTGTAACACATTGTGAATGTTCCACCACTAGAGATATCGAAAGCCTAGACTTAATTATTGAATAGAAAGGATAGTCTTCCTGTACACCTTAGTTTTAATGGTTTGCATCTCTTATTTCTTACGGTGAGATTTTCATTTTATATAATATTCTTTTATTAGTGTCTATCTGTTATTTCTCTAAATGGTTTAGAAGTTAATTATCCTCAAGAATAGGGTGCCTTCTCTGACACTAGTCATCAATCCTCTGTACTTGGTAAGATTTATTTGAAAAATATCCATTATCTTGACCAAGCTTTACCAGTTAGCTAAGGTGTCCATTAATCTAAGGAATCCAGCTGTGTTCTTCTGGAACACCAAAGCAGTTTGGACTAAATTAGATGCAAGTAGTACACTTAGCTGGCCATGCAGTCCATGTATCACCAAGATTTACAGTATATGTAGCCTTCCCTGTATTATTGGAAGCCTGCTATAATCAATAAATGAAGTCCTACACCATGATGCAACCCATCAATGCACCTATCCCCTGAAGATATGCAGTAAGTGTTATGGAGTTGTTCATTGTGCTTTCCCATCACTGTCACAAATTTATTTATTTATTTTTCTCTTTGCAGTGTCTTTTCTTCTTAGAAGTATGGTGAATGCCTTAGGTGAAATAATGACATAACATATATCTATTCATCTATCTGATCTATCTACACATATATATGTATATATACATACATGAATACATATATGTAAACATACTGCTTTTGATATATTTCCACAAAGTGATAAATAATTAACATGTAATATACAGAAATAAGCACTAAAATGTTGAAATATAGTTAGGTCTTGGAAGAAAAATGAAAACAAGGTTTCTTGTATTTAAATGTAATCAAAGATGTAGGAGTTATTTATCATGCTCCAAAATAAATAAGGATTTTCATTGTAGCAACATATGTTGCAGTGCCATTGTTTATGTTCAACTGAAGCCACACATCAGACAAATTAAATTCCAAGTGTTGAAGTGAAATTTAAGGGGTATATACAATGTGATTTGTGAATGTTTAACAAAACAGGATTCCTACTGCTTGAGAGTTTCACAGATAAGTTCCCATGTACTACAATGAAAATTGTTATTTTTAGAATGACAAAGTAATTTGATTCAGCCTCACCTGGAACAAAAGAAAGTATATTTTTTTTCAAGAAAATTGAACAAGACAAACCACTTTGGGAATGCCAAATATTAATCCATATTGCCATATAAATAGTCAAGATGCCATGAATTTCTATTATTAGTACAACATTATACTATCCCCTTAAGAGATATTGTGGCATAGCAGAAAGAAGGGAGTCAGAATCAGGAAAACCTGGCTTTCTGAGCTGGGTGAGATGCAGGTTAAGTCCCCTGGTCATTCATGATTAATTATGGAATGAAAGGAGACATCCCTAGCTCATTGAAGAGTTAACAAAAGAAGATTTACTTAGAAGTATAGCAAGAGAGAGGAATAAATTAAGCCTCTGCATTCAGGACCCCTTGAGTTGCTGAGCAAAGCTTTACTGCCTTTGCAATTCTCCAACCAAGCTAACTCTTTCAAGGCATACCTGGAGCCCCTTGTTGCTATTTTGTATTTAGGTGGCCGGGAAGTGATGTCATCAACTTGTAACTTTTAAATATGTATTTTCAAAGCTATCCTGCTGTATTTTCCTCTGAACTTCCTTTTATTCCCTCTGTGCATTAAAAAATCTTTAATAACCTTTTCATCACTTTTCTTTTTTTCCCCCTTTTTTTTGAAGTGGGAAGATACTGTTGTGATATTCCACTTCCCCTCTGATTAAAAAAAAAATTACTGGTAATAAATAAATATAGTTATAAATTCAAATTTCAGAAGAGGAGCAGGAGGTCTCAAACCTGGAGACCTCCAAATAATATCACAAGGATTGAAACTGATCATGTTCAAAGAAACAGGAAATGACAAGTTACTAATATAGTGATTTAGATTATAACAGTAAACCTAGAACCATACTTGTTCTCCTTTCTAACTGTAAACTCTAAGATTGCTTTATATATGTGAGTTGCATTGCATGGCAGCTTTCAAAAAAAAAAATCTAAGATGTGATATTAGGGGATCAAGGGACATGGCTCACTTTCTGTATCAGAATTTTCCTATTGCTACATTCTACCATTCAAATAGACCGAAATGTCCCATTATCTAATGAAGCCCCTCTTTGTTTCAGCAGAAGGGGGGTCATTGTTAAATCTACCACAACTGGTCTCAAGGATTCCTTTTTGTCCTTGTCCATGCACCTCCAGGCCCCAATTCACTACTTAACTTCTCAGAATGAAATTCAAATCAGTTGAGCTGATCTAGAGAAAAAGCCCATTATAAAACTACAATCAGCAAATAAACAAGGTTCAAAGAGCATGGTCCTTCAGAAGGTTAGCAAAAGATGTTAGGCAGGGTAAAGAAGTGGAGGAGTGATAAATTCACCAGTTCCTAGTAGTGGCAGGGTAGGTACATGTACTCTCTGGCACACAACAAATTCTTTACAGGCAATGATTCCTTAAATGGATTAGTGACCCAGAAAAGGCTCATGCTAAGGATTAGATTAACTTTGTGGTAGCACTTCCTTTTAATTTCAGTCTCACACAGCTAGCACAAATCCTCTCCGGGAATCTCTAAAATTCTCAGGTTTTTCCTTGTGACCTCTCATCTTTCTGGCAGCAAAAACTACAGTTCCCAACATCCCTTGTTATCAGTATCAGTTTATGCTCCTCCTTCCAAAAATAAAAATAAGAAAACAAAACAAAAACACTTTTAAGTAAATATTTTGCTTTGCAATAATAGAGCCCATAATTTTATGTTTTAAAAGATGAAGATATTCTATAATTTTCCTGCACAAATTTTGCCCTCATCTTATAGCACGCATTCAGCTTCATGACATCTGCTTTATTTCATGTTCTCATAGCCCTCAAGTTATTCCCATCTTCAACATATTGCAACAATAATTAAGTTTATTCAAAAATACATTGAGTATTTAATTAAAGAAGCTATTCTTACCAGTAAATTTAACTTCTTTTATTTTCAGTATGACATTTCTCTGAAGGCTTAAGCCTGGATCATTGTTTGCAGTTTACTGCACCTAGAGAGAGATTAAAAAGTTGTAAATTTAGAAATAAATGCAATCTTAGGAGAGATTCCTCAAACATTACCATTTTTTGCTCTTTTTCCTTGAATAAAAAATCACTTCCCCATGCCTTTTCTTTCTTTCCAAAGAAATCAGGTGACAGACTTTTTACAATACTACTATGTCCATTTCCGTGTGAACAAAACGCTACCTAACAGTAGTGTGTCAATTTGCCTCTGATACTGCAGAAGTGACCCTGTCCTGGATTTTCATGTCAAAAGAAACTGCTTTGTGAACTTTGACAGAGGTAGCAAAAATCAAATAAATAAATAAATAAACACAACCAAAGATCAATTCAGTTTCTCATTAAAAGTTTCCAAATATATTTTTGTTGTTGTCTTTACAATTGTTTTACCTAGCCTACACAACAGAAAATAATTTGTAAATATTTCTTTCTGGCATTAGCACCCCTATAGGCTGGAGGTAGCTGGATAGAGTGCTGAGGCTGAAGTCAGGAAACCCTTTCACTTAACTAGCTGCCTGTCTCCGGCAAATCACTTAAACTGCCTGTCTCAGTTTCTTCCACTATAAAATGATGATAAAAATAGCACCTAGCTCCAAAGATTGTTGTGAGGATCAAATGAGATAATATTTGCTAAATGCTTAGCACAGTGCCTGGCATAGAGTTCTGGCATATAGTTCCTTTCTATTCTAAAACAATTCTTAACCTTTTTGTATGTATTTCATGCCTCATTTTTATGTATTTCCTGGATCATTTTGGCAATCTGGTTAAACTTGTGATTCCTTTTTCAGAATAGTATTTTAAATGTACAAAATAAAATGCATGTAATTAAATGAAAATTGATTTTATTAAAATAGTTTTGTTTAAAAAACCTCATGACCTAATGTAGCTCTAATTTTAGATCTAATCATTTTCTAAAAATTATTTTTGGTCTAGACTTTTTGATTTCATTGTTGGGAGAAACAAGTAGTATGTAGTCTCTGATTCAGGACAGATAAGTAAGTCATTTGTTGCTTTTGGCCTGGGGTGGCTGTCTGGGAAAAGAAAAGATTAAGTGACTTCACCATGGTCACACTGCCAGTGTGTCAGAGACTTGACTTGAAACCATCTCTTCCTGATGCTGGGTCTAGCCCTCTGTTTACTGAACACAAGCTGACTCTCTTACTACTATAACCATGGTAATTTTGTCTTAAATGGGCAAGATGGTTTTCTAAAATTTGATCACTACCAACTTTAAAAGAAAGTCTGCCCAGAAATCTGTTTTCTGATTTTTCACCCTTTCCAAATGCAATGTTGAAAACATATGCTTTTTTCTTTGGGGGGCAAAAGGAAGCCCAAAATTGCAAAGTGTTCAAAGAGTTTAGGCTACTGGTCTTTTTCAATTGCTCCCTTATATCCATAATAATCTAGCCCTGTATAACTCAGTATTTTCAGAGAGATTGCCACTTAAGGATCTTTGTGGAAGCTACAATATCTGCTTTGGCCCCAAAGAAACAGAGTGACTAATATATGCAGGCAACCTACTTTCTTGCTGTTTACTCCTTGACAATCTCTCAGTTTGGCTTCAGTTCAAAAACTGTTGCCAAGAAGTATAAACAGATCCCTCTGCCTCCCGAGGGAGCCTCACACGAATATACTGAAAAGCAGAATTTCACCCCAGGAAGAATAGTCCCCACGGCTTTCCAATTGACCAACTGACACTAAACAAAGTCTCTTCTCCTGCTTCTTTTCTCTGGAGGCTTCATTTCAATCCCATTAAGGCTTACTACTGACACTACCATTATTTCTATTGTAATAAACAGAAATGTTTGTGGATCACCCACACAATGTACCAAACAGAATTTAGTAGGCCCTTTACCCACTGGATTCACAGTATGCATACATTCTATGGTTTATTTTATCTACTGACTGCATCAAGCTAATTGAAGATATTCATTAAAGGATAGGTCCTTTCCAGCTCTGAATATATGATCCTATAACTACTACCTACTCACTGCCCTTCTCTTCAGTATCCTCCCCAACTACCTGGCCATCCATAAAAAGGGTTTTAACTTTTTTCTTATCCAGAACTTATACCTTCAGCTACTTCCCTCCACCTCCCTTCCCTCTCCTGACAATACTGGTCAATGACTCTCTCATGTGAATCTTCCAACTATGCATCAACCATGAATCATTTTACTACCTACTCTCTGGTCATTTTCTCCACAACTTCACTTTGCCATGACCCCCTCCACTGCTAGAAGAATGAACAATTCAACTCTTCCAGTATTCTCGAATGGGATATATCAATCTACTCTTCTATGAAGAGAGTCACTATTTCTATAACTATTTGGAGCAAATGTCCCATCTTGCCTATGATTCTGGTATGTGTATTATCTTTCCCCATATGAAATCTCTTTGAGAGCAACCAGCTCTTAAAAATGCCTTTTCATTAATTTTTTTTCAATGTTTATTCATTCAATTATTTACTTAGATTTGAATCTTAATATGTAACTCATCTTTGTAACCTTAGACAAATCATTAAACTCTCTGGGGGTCAGTTACAGCATTTAAAAATGAAGGCACTGGGTTGCATGACTTCAAAGGTTCATTTAGTGCTCTAAGTCTGACATTCTAAGTTCACCATTACATTCACCAAGCATCTATTAAGCATCTAATGTGTAAAAAGCAATGCAAAGACAAAGATAATAGGAAAAAAGATAATTTCCTCTCCAGCAGTTTGTGTTCTAGGGAATAAATATGTGCAAATAAGTACTACTAAGTTCTTTGAGGAATAAGAGAGTACTAATGTCTAACGGGGTCATGAAAGGATTTAAGTAGATGGTGGCCTCTGAATCTGAATGGTAAAGAAACTAAATATTCTAAGACATGAACATAACGACAAACTACATGATCAGTATGGGAGACAACCCGAATGAAGACCAGAAGATGAAAGCTGGAATGCCGGATTGGAGGATATCTAGTAGGTCATTTTGGTTGGAAAAAAGAACATGAAAGGGCATAATGTGAAACAAGGATGGAAAGGTAGGTTGTAGATGAATAAATATAACTTCAAACATTGGGTTGAATAATTTATACATTTTCCTAAAAGCTAGAGGGAGTTGATAAAGATTCTGAAGTCAGAAAGTAACATATTCACAACGTTAAGAAGGTTATTTTGATGGTTGGGTAGAGGAAGGATTACACTGGGGAGAGATTTGAATCAGGTAGGCCAATTAGGAGATGAGAAAGGATGAAAGCCTGAATTTGGGCAATACTTGGGTGAATCTAAAGAAAGAGTTGCCTTCAAGTGGTGAGGAGGAGGTAGAAGACTAGAGAAGATTTGAAAACTTACAATATGAGGGGAAAAAAAGAGGAAAGAATCAGGGATTATAGACTATAAAACCCCATGATGAGTTGAATGATCGTTACCTCAGCAGTGATGCATTAGTTTTGAAGTTGCAAGGAGGGCAGTTAGGAAGGAAGAAAATGAATTGCATTTTGCATATTCAATTTGAGATACACAGGGGATATCCAGGTGGAGATGTTCAGCATTTCATAATGGGGGACCTACAGATAAAGACTTTTGTAGCTAAAGGCACAACCCTAAGCTATACTATGATAAAAGGTAAGGAAAAGGACAGGAACTGGACCTGTGCCTTCATTATAATGTAAAATTTTCATGTTATTTAATAATTTAGCTATGATTAAATGAATGGAAAACCCCAAAGGGATTTCCTTCTCCCTCAGATTTTCCCAACAGTGACTATGCATTTGGAAGAAAAGAAAAAGAAAAAGAAAAAGAAAAAGATTTGCATGATATCCACCATGATTTAAGCCATATTAGTGACACCTGCCCCCTACATAGCCTCATTGCATTGAATGTGGACTTTACTAATTAAGCCACAAATCTTTTCAATTCCTTACATTGCTGATGTCAAAATACATAGAAATCAAAAAGCAGTTCTCCAGCCACCAAATAATAATAAAAATGTTTGTTATTGAAATGATGCTTACACCTTCAAGATGAGTGTTCCATGATGGTTCGAGAGGTAGTATTGTACAAAAGGTAGTCAGCATGATGTAGCATAAACAGCAATAGACTTAGCATTAGAGGATCTGGGTTCAAATGTTACTTCTATCACTTACTATCAGTGTGACTTTGGCCAATTCAATTAATCTGTCTTCCCCTCTGTTGCCTTGTCAGTAAAGCTATAAGACTGAATTAGATGGCTTACATAGTTCCTCACAGCTCTAGACCTATGATCCTACAGACTTAAGACCTTTAGTTTCTTCAGCTATAAAATGAGTGGTGTGTTACTTTTTCAACAATTCTTTCCAAATCTACAATCCACTGTTGAAGAGAGAAATAAACAAGCAAAACAAATGACATGCACCCTATATAAATTATTTATCAAGACTGCACATTTCCTAGGTTTCCAGTTCAAGATTGTAAGTTTGAAAGTGTCCTTAAATTATGGTTAATATATGCTTCCATTCCATTTATAACAAGAGCCATCCCCTTTCAAATAACTTCATATGAGCTTGTGTCTCACGTTGTCATTGCTTCCCAGGAGGCAACAGCTTTATCTTAGTGTCAATATGCCATGTGTCTTACTTGTTTTTCCATTAATAGTGAAAGATCATGCGGAGATATCCACACTCATTCCCCTAGTTTCCCTGGAAACAATATCACGTCTTACTAAGATAGGTGGAGGGGGTTAGCATGATGGAGACAAGACTAGCTAAGAGAAGATTTAAGAAGTACAAGAGAGATGTCTGTAAGTCTTTAAATTGTTGTCTGTAGGAGGGATTTAATCTGCTTGGCTTTAGAGAGTAGAACCAGAGGCAGATAGGTGGACTTGGCAAAAAAGATTGATTTAGGTTTCCTAAATACTTCCTAACAATTAAAATTCTTTCTAACAATTAGAGCTATCCAAAAGTGAAACAGATCATCTCATGACATAGTGGGTTCTTTTTCACTGGCAAAGACTGAATAATCATTTGGACAATA